ACAACCGTTATTTACTAAAAAAAAAAAAAGTAAATTGAGTAATCGCTTTTTTAAGCAGCACAATTGAGATTTTCCTGTATGCATGTACACACGTATGTACATACGTACGCACAAAAAAATGTTCTATGTTGTTAGAAAATTTTATTTCTATTTAAAAAAAGGAGAGAAATTATCATCGCTTAGGACAGGGGCCCGGCGTTACGCGCCGCTCGTGCGTAATCATCGCCGCTTGTAGTAAACAACTGCCCGCGCGCCGACCGCGGGGCGGCCGCATCTCGCCGCGCGCTTAGATTTGGCGGAAGGCGGGCTAATACGGCGATTTTTAATCATTAATAACTCGTTAACTATTGCGAAAATTGCAAAATGGTACATGACTTTTCGACTCAGTTTGGCTCGCTCTATCTAGATATGAGAAAAGTACCAAGAATTCAGGGGCACCCTGTATATATATATACGTATATATATATATATATATACGTACTTATACATAATGATATAACTATATTATATTTATTGTAAATTATCGTATTGTCGCATGCATCGCCATAGTTTTACTATTATATATTTTTTTCGGTAAACGGCCTCCAGAATTCCCTATTCGAAGTCGAAATCGAATAAAACGCATCATTATCTTATTCTTTATGTTGTGACAGTTTCTCAACGTTTCGCATGCAATGGCCTGCATTTTTTCATGAAAAAAATGAACTAAATCAAATTTAGTCGTTTCAAAATTTGTTTTTAGATATGGTAAGTACTGCCTCATAACAATTTCCATCTGATAAAAATACTCAAATGTTGCGTTATTTACGAAAAAAAGCGTATTACGTCGAAAAGATTTCAACAACACAAATTTTGCAAATTTTGAAGATGGATTGTATGTGAGAGATCCAGCGGAACTTAAACACAATTTACAAGTAATATTATTGTTTGAAACACGGGAGAGAATATAGCCGGCGATGTTGTACAATACATTCAGTTCAATGTCCCCTATGTGTATTTTTCTCGTTGACAAATCAGGAACAGGTGGCAAACGGTTTTTTATTTCTTTAGATTTAGGTGTACTCAAAAAATCGCCAACAATAATTCTGTCGTCTTCTTCGTAGCTGGAATTACCTACAGGTTTTAAATATTTTAAAATTGCGATTATTTTTAAATTTTGCTTGAATTGCAAGGCGGTTGGAATGGGTTGTTTAGCTCTAACACAAGAAAATATGTTTTCGACGCAATCTGATGTTAACCGACCTTAACTCTTTCTTTAATCGTTCAACTTCATTAAGTTCTTGGTTGCTTATTTCTCTTGAATAGGTAGGAATAGAGGAATTTACAAGATAATATAAGAAGTCGTATAAGTAATTATAAATAATGAATAACATAATGGTAATATATTATAGTAAGTCAAATTTTGTAACCACAGAAAGAGTAATAAATTGTTATTGAATTTGCAACATTACTCGATGTCAATGGAATAATATCAGGAACATCTGCTCCGAGACAGTCCTCTTGCTGCTTGTCTTCATGAACATTAAATGTTTCAAATGCACCAGGTTGCCTTTGTGAAGATTTATTAGTTTTTTCCTAAAAAGTTCGTTATTTTCATGAAAAGGTAATACTTTTTGCTGTTTTTAACTAAGATACGCAAAGAAAGGAAACTCACGTTTGTACTAATAGATGCACTGCTCATTTCCAATTGAGCAGGGAAAATTGTGGGCACAGCGTTGCCTTTTAATTTTCTTTTCCCGTCATCGCGTACTTTTTCCCACATATTATTTGCAAAATGTACCTATAAAAAATTTTTATATATTGTCAGTATTTTTATTTTTATAACTCAAATGAAATTAATTTATCTCTCACATATTACTTACTTCACATACAAACAGATCTATTGTCGATTTCCAATTCCTTAATCTATGTTTGCCTATGTTAGCAATCCAAACATCTCTTCTTTCTGGATTCGTTGGGAAACGAGCCATAAAAATTTTTATTCCTTTCTTTGTGCGTTTTAAACATGTTGACACACAGCAAGCTGGCATTTTTATATCTATAAAAATAATTATTTAGTTATTTTTTGTTTTTCTTTTCATATATTTATACATATTACACACAATTTTTTAAAATAAA